GTGAGAGGGAGGGCAGTAGTGCTGCTAGAAACAAGGGAGAGGTGAGAGGGAGGGCAGTAGTGCTGCTAGAAACAAGTGAGAGGTGAGAAGGAGGGCAGTAGTGCTGCTAGAACAAGTGAGAGGTGAGAGGGAGGGCAGTAGTGGTGCTAGGACAAGGGAGAGGTGAGAGGGAGGGCAGTAGTGCTGCTAGGACAAGGGAGAGGTGAGAGGGAGGGCAGTAGTGGTGCTAGAACAAGTGAGAGGTGAGAGGGAGGCAGTAGTGCTGCTAGAACAAGTGAGAGTGAGAGGGAGGGCAGTAGTGGTGCTAGGACAAGGGAGAGCTGAGAGGGAGGGCAGTAGTGGTGCTAGGACAAGGGAGAGGTGAGAGGGAGGGCAGTAGTGGTGCTAGGACAAGGGAGAGGTGAGAGGGAGGGCAGTAGTTGTGCTAGAACAAGTGAGAGGGAGGCAGTAGTGCTGCTAGGACAAGAAAGAGGTGAGATGGAGGGCAGTAGTGGTGCTAGGACAAGGGAGAGATGAGAGGGAGGGCAGTAGTGCTGCTAGGACAAGGGAGAGGTGAGAGGGAGGGCAGTAGTGGTGCCCAGGACAAGAGAGAGGTGAGAGGGAGGGCAGTAGTGCTGCTAGAACAAGGGAGAGGTGAGAGGGAGGGCAGTAGTGGTGCTAGGACAAGGGAGAGGTGAGAGGGAGGGCAGTAGTGCTACTAGGACAAGGGAGAGGTGAGAGGGAGGGCAGTAGTGGTGCTAGGACAAGGGAGAGGTGAGAGAGAGGGCAGTAGTGCTGCTAGAACAAGGGAGAGGTGAGAGGGAGGGCAGAAGTGCTGCTAGGACAAGGGAGAGGTGAGAGGGAGGACAGTAGTGCTGCTAGAACAAGGGAGAGGTGAGAGGGAGGGCAGAAGTGCTGCTAGGACAAGGGAGAGGTGAGAGGGAGGGCAGTAGTGGTGCTAGAACAAGTGAGAGGTGAGAGGGAGGGCAGTAGTGGTGCTAGGACAAGGGAGAGGTGAGAGGGAGGGCAGTAGTGCTGCTAGGACAAGGGAGAGGTGAGAGGGAGGGCAGTAGTGGTGCTAGGACAAGGTAGAGGTCAGACGGACGGCAGTAGTGGTGCTAGGACAAGGTAGAGGTCAGACGGACGGCAGTAGTGGTGCTAGGACAAGGTAGAGGTCAGACGGACGGCAGTAGTGCTGCTAGGACAAGGGAGAGGTCAGAGGGAGGGCAGTAGTGCTGCTAGAACAAGGTAGAGGTCAGACGGACGGCAGTAGTGCTGCTAGGACAAGGGAGAGGTCAGAGGGAGGGCAGTAGTGCTGCTAGAACAAGGTAGAGGTCAGACGGACGGCAGTAGTGCTGCTAGGACAAGGGAGAGGTCAGACGGACGGCAGTAGTGCTGCTAGGACAAGGGAGAGGTCAGAGGGAGGGCAGTAGTGCTGCTAGAACAAGGTAGAGGTCAGACGGACGGCAGTAGTGCTGCTAGGACAAGGGAGAGGTCAGACGGACGGCAGTAGTGCTGCTAGGACAAGGGAGAGGTCAGAGGGAGGGCAGTAGTGCTGCTAGGACAAGGAGAGGTCAGAGGGAGGGCAGTAGTGCTGCTAGAACAAGGTAGAGGTCAGACGGACGGCAGTAGTGCTGCTAGGACAAGGGAGAGGTCAGAGGGAGGGCAGTAGTGCTGCTAGAACAAGGTAGAGGTCAGACGGACGGCAGTAGTGCTGCTAGGACAAGGGAGAGGTCAGACGGACGGCAGTAGTGCTGCTAGGACAAGGGAGAGGTCAGAGGGAGGGCAGTAGTGCTGCTAGGACAAGGGAGAGGTCAGAGGGAGGGCAGTAGTGCTGCTAGAACAAGGTAGAGGTCAGACGGACGGCAGTAGTGCTGCTAGACAAGGGAGAGGTCAGAGGGAGGGCAGTAGTGCTGCTAGAACAAGGTAGAGGTCAGACGGACGGCAGTAGTGCTGCTAGGACAAGGGAGAGGTCAGAGGGAGGGCAGTAGTGCTGCTAGAACAAGGTAGAGGTCAGACGGACGGCAGTAGTGCTGCTAGGACAAGGGAGAGGTCAGAGGAGGGCACTAGTGCTGCTAGAACAAGGTAGAGGTCAGACGGACGGCAGTAGTGCTGCTAGGACAAGGAGAGGTCAGACGGACGGCAGTAGTGCTGCTAGGACAAGGGAGAGGTCAGAGGGAGGGCAGTAGTGCTGCTAGGACAAGGGAGAGGTCAGAGGGAGGGCAGTAGTGCTGCTAGAACAAGGTAGAGGTCAGACGGACGGCAGTAGTGCTGCTAGGACAAGGGAGAGGTCAGAGGGAGGGCAGTAGTGCTGCTAGAACAAGGTAGAGGTCAGACGGACGGCAGTAGTGCTGCTAGGACAAGGGAGAGGTCAGAGGGAGGGCAAATAGTGCTGCTAAAAACAAGGTAGAGGTCAGACGGACGGCAGTAGTGCTGCTAGGACAAGGGAGAGGTCCAGACGGACGGCAGTAGTGCTGCTAGGACAAGGGAGAGGTCAGAGGGAGGGCAGTAGTGCTGCTAGAACAAGGTAGAGGTCAGACGGACGGCAGTAGTGCTGCTAGGACAAGGGAGAGGTCAGAGGGAGGGCAGTAGTGCTGCTTTGAACAAGGTAGAGGTCAGACGGACGGCAGTAGTGCTGCTAGGACAAGGGAGAGGTCAGACGGACGGCAGTAGTGCTGCTAGGACAAGGGGGAGGTCAGAGGGAGGGCAGTAGTGCTGCTAGGACAAGGGAGAGGTCAGAGGGAGGGCAGTAGTGCTGCTAGAACAAGGTAGAGGTCAGACGGACGGCAGTAGTGCTGCTAGGACAAGGGAGAGGTCAGAGGGAGGGCAGTAGTGCTGCTAGAACAAGGTAGAGGTCAGACGGACGGCAGTAGTGCTGCTAGGACAAGGGAGAGTCAGAGGGAGGGCAGTAGTGCTGCTAGAACTAGGTAGAGGTCAGACGGACGGCAGTAGTGCTGCTAGGACAAGGGAGAGGTCAGAGGAGGGCAGTAGTGCTGCTAGAAACAAGGTAGAGGTCAGACGGACGGCAGTAGTGCTGCTAAAGGACAAGGGAGAGGTCAGAGGGAGGGCAGTAGTGCTGCTAAAGGACAAGGGGAGGTCAGAGGGGGGGCAGTAGTGGTGCTAGGACAAGGTAGAGGTCAGAGGGAGGGCAGTAGTGCTGCTAGGACAAGGGAGAGGTCAGAGGGAGGGCAGTAGTGGTGCTAGGACAAGGGAGAGGTCAGAGGGAGGGCAGTAGTGCTGCTAGGACAAGGGAGAGGTCAGAGGGGGGGCAGTAGTGCTGCTAGGAAAAAGGGAGAAAGGTCAGAGGGAGTGGCAGTAGTGCTGCTAGGACAAGGGAGAGGTCAGGGAGGGCAGTAGTGCTGCTAGGACAAGGGAGAGGTCAGAGGGAGGGCAGTAGTGCTGCTAGAACAAGGGAGGGTCAGAGGAGGGCAGTAGTGCTGCTAGAACAAGGGAGAGGTCAGAGGGGGGGCAGTAGTGCTGCTAGAACAAGGGAGAGGTCAGACGGACGGCAGTAGTGCTGCTAGAACAAGGGAGAGGTCAGAGGGAGGGCAGTAGTGCTGCTAGGACAAGGGAGAGGTCAGAGGGAGGGCAGTAGTGCTGCTAGGACAAGGGAGAGGTCAGAGGGAGGGCAGTAGTGCTGCTAGAACAAGGGAGAGGTCAGACGGACGGCAGTAGTGCTGCTAGAACAAGGGAGAGGTCAGAGGGAGGGCAGTAGTGCTGCTAGGACAAGGGAGAGGTCAGACGGACGGCAGTAGTGCTGCTAGAACAAGGGAGAGGTCAGACGGACGGCAGTAGTGGTGCTAGGACAAGGGAGAGGTCAGACGGACGGCAGTAGTGCTGCTAGAACAAGGGAGAGGTCAGACGGACGGCAGTAGTGGTGCTAGAACAAGGGAGAGGTCAGACGGACGGCAGTAGTGGTGCTGACGCCATGACTATGTTTCTCCGGGACGCTAGAAAGTCATATATTTACTCTGTTATTAACATTTTTATTATTTTAGGTACCACTTTTATATAAGAAACATTCTACATATTATAAAACCATAAGTAAACCTGGGTAAACAGCTGAGGTTTCTTTGTCAGCACTTGTAGACTCTCCTGATATATCAACACATGTCGGTTCTCTGAACCATTCATCTACAAACCTGTCAGACACTGCAACTTCCTGGGATCTTAATACTTGGGAATTCTTCGCTTGCCTAATTCTTGGGCACGACCTACTTCCACATTGAACAAATGTGACATCACCTATGACTGCTGCACCTCTCCTACCAACGGTTTATAAGCTCCTTCTCCGCACATATGCCGTATTCTATTCAAGATTGATGGACTGACCACATCGACTCAAGGTTGAGGGACTGATTACCTCATTCTCCTCCTGTTCTTCAAGGTTCTCCTTTGTATGGACTGATGAAGCCACTGTGTGGCGAAACGTTTCCTCAATAAAGATACCCAAGAGTTGCACATGTGTCTAATTTATCATCAAACCATACCCCCGGCCGGGATTGAACCCGCGGTCATAGAGTCTCAAAACTCCAGCCCGTCGCGTTAGCCACTAGACCAGCTATGTGTGTTATGCAGTTTTATACTTTTCTTAAAACGTTCAAAACCAACCACGACTTGCTACGAAGGTTTCACTTCTGGCACTAGAACCCTGTTTTTTCTTTAGATCTTCAAATGAACTTAAAGCTTTCATTTGTAAGGCCGTTATCGAAGACGGAGTGATACGCCGGTGCATATTCTACATCCAGATATTTAAGTCTTTCCATATTTTCCATTCCTGACCAAGAATTGATTTCCTTTTTGTAATCAACATCATAATAAAACGATGTTGAACGAAACGGCGTTAAGTGAGGACCTCCTGTATACCACTGAAACATAGAAGAAATACCTAGCGAGGCTTGCACCTCATATCACAGTGGTAGCATAATAATAATAATAATAATAATAAATAATAATAATAATAATAATAATAATATAATAATAATAATAATAATAGTAATAGTAATAGCAATAATAATCGCTATTTCTGAAAGTACATAATACAACATACACAGACGTACCTGACATCACTGACATACTGTATAGAAAGTCCCTGGGTTTGCAGAGCATTCTTGCAAATTAAGTTAATTTTGTCTCCAGGATATGATCCACAGTCGACTAACACCCAGGTACCTATTTACTGCTAGGTGAACAGGGGCAGCAGGTGCCTTAGGGAAACACCCCCAGTGTTTCTACCTGTACCGGGATCGAACCACTGACCTCAGTGTGTAGGCTGAGTGCGCTATGAACCGAGCAATTCACTTACAGTATATTATACTGTACTTACATGGGATCAAGAACAGCAAAGGAAGTACGTTATTAACATATTTATGGGGAAATACTAAACCTGTGTAGGTCTAACAATGTTGGAAAATGGGAGAGAGTAAGATTTGATCTAAAGAAGGGAAGGGCAGCTCCAATTATAAGATACGAATAAAATATTGTATAATTTAGGGTAAATACAGTAGTGTAGTCTGGAATAAACAATATTAAAGATCAGAAAGAATACCCACTGTTTGGTCACATCAGGATTACTATATTAAATAAGAAAACGTTTATAAGAATTACGAAAAAGGAAAAATGAAATTTAGTGCTTGCTGAAAGTATATTTAAAATTGTTTATAGTTTATATGTACATGGAAGTACATTTGTGGTATCAAAGCAACAATCCATATTATTACCGGAGATCTATTTAAAATATACATGGGATCAATAACAGCAAACTACCTACACCAATTATCATGGTCACAAATGTGGCCATAATAACTATATATGTACTAATTATAAACAATAATATAAGGCCAGTTTCTACAAACAGCTAAACTTGATGAAATAAAAGACCATTTATGTATATTACTCTACTTTCACATTTCTGTGGTGGAACATTGGTCTCATAACCGAGGGAATGTTGGTTACTCCTGAGTCAGACAAGATGCATCAACAAATTTCCTAATATCTGCTTCCCCTGGACGCCTAGCAGTAAACTGGTACATGAGAGTTAAGTAGACTGTTGTGGTTGGTATTCTGGGAAGGGCAACATGTATGGACAAATGTTCTTAAACCAACTGCTATTATTCACTCATCAGCAAACAAGTACTTGGGTATTAGATGACTGTTGTGGGTGACATACTAGGCAAGGATTGAGAGCCCCATTAAAATGATTTTCATTATAGGTATTAATACTAGGAAATTTGCAGCTCAATTTTTAGAGAACTTTTTTGTGTTCCTTTAGAAAAGAATTCATCATCTTCAAGAGAAGAGGCATCAGCAGCCATGATGGTATCTTTCCTAGAGCCCAGATCTGAAACAAGAGAGTACATTAAGAAGCAACGATTGATGCTATACACTGTCTGAAGAATGGAAGGTGGTTATTATAATCACTGGGAAGCACTAAATTCTCAGGGGTCATACATGACCTGGGAAGTAAATTTTTTGTTTAACACACAAACTACCTCCCACCATGGTGCGATGACCCCAAAAAGAGAAAACATAATTCACCATCATTCATTTAATAGCTTTCTCACCAAAAGCGTGTGGAAATAACACTTCAAATGAACCTGTGAACTGACACATCCTCGTCCGTCCTTCAGAGCGCAGAAACTGTAGTTCCACCTCCAGGACTCAAGTCAAACTAACCAGTTTCCCTGAATCCTGTCATTAATGTTATCTTGCCCACACTCAACCAACTCTAAACATCACTTGCCTTCATTCATTCAAATTTTAAAAAAAATCACATATTCCTTCTATATCCTCAAGTCATTATCACTTAAAAAATCCTTCATGCTCTCCCTATAACAAGTCCTGGGACTCCCCCTGACAACTGCATGTTAAATGAACAGTTAAATGAACAACCAAAATATTAGTAACAAAGTATACACAAGAAGTTAATTCTGAGTTTCCATATATTTCCACCACCAAATATATACACTATATACAGTGCCTATGAACTAATGAACAAAAACATGAACAAAGTTTGGAGAGAGTGTATGTATAAAAACTCTTACTGATACAGCTATAAACACTCACACAGAAGACAGATTCTAGTACTGAGTAGAGCAGTTCGAGGGCCATGAGGGTCTGAAGGCCATGGCTGCCCCTACATAAAACAAGTAGACAGCCTCCAGTATAACTGGTAATACTGCGTACTCACGGGGTGGACTCATTTAAGAAAAAAAGCTATCTACCGTGCCTTAAAGCTGGCTTAAGATAATATGCAGTAATGTGAATACGTGTGATGCACGTAATCACATAATTGCAATATTTATCCTCGGTGTAAATCTTGCAGTAACGTGATTACACTCAAATGCAATATTCACATTCGGTGCATACTGCACAGTTCTTCCTTCTTCACTGAATATATACATAATCAGTCATTCTTTCTGCTCCAATCTTTCCAAATGGCCAAACCACCTCAACAAACCTTCCTCCATCTTCTGAATTATAACTTGACTCAAGAAATCGTAATGACACGATTGCAAATAAACCATACCCCCGGCTGGGATTGAACCCGCGGTCATAGAGTCTCAAAACGCTAGCTGGAGATTCGTCTGTAAAAACTTGCATTTGTGGTCACAGTGATGCCTGTGCTAACCTTCCTATGGTGTAGAAATATACCTAGTTGGATGAATCTTATTGTGGCTAGCTGGTCTAGTGGCTAACGCGACGGGCTGGAGTTTTGAGACTCTATGACCGCGGATTCAATCCCGGCCGGGGGTATTTTTTTTTTTCTGAATTATACTTTTCGTAACCATACATTGACTTTTAATTTTAGTACACTTTAACCCTTTCACTATCAAGACCCTTGAAATTAATACTTTGCATAATTTTCACATGACCATTAGACCCCTGGGTGTCTTCAAGAGGGAGCTGGACAGGCACCTTGAGTCAGTACCTGACCAGCCTGGTTGTAGTTCATAAGTCTGTTTGTGTGCTGCTAGCAGTAACAGTCTGACTGATCAGGCCCTGATCCACCGCGAGGCCTGGTCATGGACCGGGTCGCTGAGGCGTTACCCCCTGAAACACTCTCCAACAATACTCCAGGTATAACAAACTGCTTTCAGACATAACATCTACATTGCCTCTAGTCTCTTCCTCACTGCAGTGTTTAAAACTCATACTTTATACCATATAAAAGTATTCATACTATATATTGTGGTGCATTTCTGCTTACTGATTTCTTTCCACAGATTCTTCAGTACACTAACTACAATTCTTCATTCATCTTTTCTATGGTTAATCATTTACAGACTCATCTGCCGACATGTTTACTTACAAATATTTATACAGTATATATTTACCTTCTCCCTACTTCCTCTCTCCAACCTGATACTCAATCTGTCAATGTCTTAACTTTCTATCACTCTTATAATCTTGCACTGTCCCATGTTCACTTTCCACAGTGGTAGAATCATAACCAGTGCAGCTGACTTCCACTGCATCCCAGCTCGATATAATGTGCCAATTTTTAAGGGAAAATTTTTTACTGTTCATTCTCCATGGTCTTTGGTTTACACTAAATAATTTATTGTAATCAAGTTGTACACACCTGCTAGTGGTAACTCACATACACCTTTCTGTGGGTTGAACAAGCAAGGACAGTGCTGTCTGGCATTTACCCAAACATTTTATTTATTTGAGTTTTTGTTGTGGTGAAAGACTTGTTAACTATGATTATAAAGGCAAGGACAGGTGTCCTGTATATAATAACCCTGTTTTATACTAAATGATTTCACAGTGTCTGTGAAGATTTACATGAAGACAATAATAATATAGTGTAGGCATCCTTGATCAGGTTTTCAGTGTGTATTGAATGAATGTGTGTTTGAAGGAGATATTGATCTTTGTGCGAGGTAAAATATTTTGAATTTCATTGAAAATTAGTGGAAAGTGTTTTTGTAACTGAAGCTAATGGTAAGATACTGAATAATTTTGATATAAAGCTGTAGCAGGACTAAGGGTCTGATTACTTGTCTCTCCACAGTCTTTTGTTGATGTTGTTAAGAAGTGCACTGAGGAACAAGATGGGACGGGGTGGAGGGGGAGGATCTTTATTACAACCAAAGCCAAGTGCTAAACCCACAAAGGTTATACAGCGCTTCAGGGTGGGGTGCGAAATATAAATAT